GCGCCTGCCGCGAGGCCGCGCATGCGTCGGCGAGGGCTGCAAGAAGTCCTGCGGCGCGAGCAGGGGGCGCGAGAACGACGAGGCCAGCGAATGGACCTGCTGCGCCCGCATCTTTTCAGTTGTGTTATCCTTCTCTTCCTCGTCCTCCGCTCCTCCTCATCCGCTCCCCCCTCGCCCCCCCCCCTCCCTCTATCTTCGGCCTCCTCCGCCGCGCGGGGGGGGGGGGGCAGGGGCGGGGGGGGCGATGAGAAGAGAGCGGATGATGACGACGAGTAGAGGGCGAACCATGTGGATGGGGGGGGCGAGAAGGACGAGGGGAGGGCGAGGCTGCGGAGGCTGGGGGGGGGGGGGATTGGGGCGGTGAGGAGGGGCATGGGGGCGGGGGGGGTGGCGGCGAGGATAGCATGCGTTGCGCGCCCGCCATGTGGGGATCGGGGCCCTTCTGGCTCGCATGGGGCCGGTTTGAGCTAGATGTCAGAATTTCATTCACTTCAGATCGCCGCCAGTCTGATTCCATGTTTGTGTTCGTGCCCTTGCGCCCTTGCAGCATCGATCTTGGTTTGGCGGCAGTGTTACTCGCAATCGGGCCATGTATATTTGAGCAAGCCCTTGGGCGCGGCATCGATATAGGGGGGGGGGGGGGGGCGTTGGCGCGGTGGCCCCAATGCGACTGAACTGGGCTGAACTGGACTGAGCTGAACTGAACTGAACTGAACTGAACTGGACTGAGCTGAACTGGACTGGACTGAACTGAACTGAACTGGACTGAAGCTGACTGCCCCCCTTCCCCAAACTGACTGAATCCAAATGCAGACTGCCCTTGAACGAGCAGAAGCTCAAGCTCAATCTATGGAAGTCTGGCGCTCCATGGAACTGATTGAACTCGACTCCAAACTGACTGACTGACTGACTGACTGCAAGTCTGGCATTGAAAAACTGACTGTCTGGCCCTTGAACTGCAGCCCCCCCAAAAACTAACTGAACTCAACTGAGACTGCCCTTGAACGAGCAGAGGCTCAAGATATGGAAACCGCTGGCCTGCATCTCTCTGTCTAGAATCGGTGTGCGCTCTCGTTCGCGGCCCGGCGCCCGGGCACCGCGTCTCTCAATGCCCCTCGGATGACATGTCATTGCAATGTTAAATGCCTTCGCGCCCAAAGCCCCTCCCCCTCCCCGTGCCGAATGTCTTCCGTAGCCATTTTGGCGCAAGACTTTCTTTGTGGTAGTGCGCCCCCTGACAATCGAGGCAGTCGGATGATGGCGCTACATGAGGGCCCCGAGAAGTTTTCAGAGTTCGTGAACAAGAGCGGCATCACGCCAGAGGCAGCCAAGGAGTTGGCGCAACGTGTCGGTGTCCCTGCTGATGCGATCGGCCCTCTCCTGCAAGGGCTTGCCGCGCCTGCGGCCCCCTCGCCTGCGAAGGGCGGCGGCGAGGGCGACAGCTCCAAGGGCGACGGCTCCAAGGGCGGCGACGCCAAGGGCAGCAGGGGCGACGATGTCAAGGGCGGCAAAGGCTGCAAGGGCGACGGCTCCAAGGGCGGCAAGAAAGGCGTCCTCGGGGGGAAGGGGGAAGGCGGCAAGTCGAATGGCATGACCGACGGCAAGAGTGGCACAGCGGGCTTTGCGGTTTGCGGCAAAGGCGGCAACAGTGGCAACATCGGCAAGACCTTGCCGTCTGCAGTCGCAGGCGCGATTGGCAAGGGTAGCGATGCTGGGAAGGGCAAATCTAGCACCAAGGGCGAGAAGGGCGACTTTTTCGATGCTTCGACTGCGCGCCTGGCAGAGCCCCCAGCTGCAGGACTGGAAGCGCTTTCGCCTGCGCCATCTTTGCTGTCGCCTGGGCCTGCAGTAAGACCCGCTGCGTGCGCTGCTCGAGAGGCGGCCGTGGACAACATAGACGCGGCCATCAAGCGATCGACATCTACTGGGATGGCTTCTTCGCCCTCCACCCCTGCAGGAAGTGCGACTGCTGAGTCTTCGCCAAGTGCTCCTGGGCAACAGTCAGGAGAAGTTGCCCTTACCAGGAAGCAGTCGTACGATAGGTGGTTCTCGCAGGTGAAAATCAAGAAAAGGAGGGCGCACTTTCCAGGAGAAGTCACCGACTCTTTGAAGAAGAACAAGATGGACGTGTTCGAGGCTTGGCAGAATTGCGGCGAGGATTGGGGCAAAGTCGCTGAGTACCTGGTGAGGAAGACTCACGAGGAGACGACGGCTGCCACATCCGCGTTCAAGCCGCTCAAGAAGGCTGCAATCGAGGGCATCTACGGCGTCGAGGGCGCCAAGGAGGTCATGAAGCAATGCGAAGCTTCGGGGCACTACGAGGAAGACCCGTACTTCCCTGGCAAAGAAGATCATTACACGTTGCATGTGTATTCAGGGAAAGAGTTCACGCGCCAGAACAAGTCTACGACATCCATGGAGCTCAGCGCGAAGCGCGGCATCACAGCCGACCAACTCAGGGACCTCACCCATGATGGCGGTATCTTCAACACCAACATTGTGGCGGGCATGGGCGAGCATTCTTGCGCGAAGTTGTTCGACCTCAAAACTGATGTCACGCCTGCAGATGACGACGATGATACCAAGCCTGATGACGCCGCTGGCGGGGCGTCTGCGCCGGCTCAGGTCAGGCCGCAGAGCAACCAGGAGAAGGCCGTGGACTATCTCAAGAAGAACCAGACACAATCCGCATCAGCAAGGGGCTTCTCGCTATCACTGAAGTATTTTCCCTTCCAGGAGATCCCAGTTCAGATGCTTGAGCACGCGGTGTGGATGGAGAAAGTATACGACGAGGTCCGCATGCTGTCGAGCAGGCAACCCCAATCGGAGGTTGATCATCTATACCCTGATGTGTTCAAACTGATCGACGAGAAATTCGCCTGGTTCGAGAAGATTGACAAAACGGCGCGCCACCTCGAGAAAGGCGAGGCCCCGTGCGAGGCAGGGAGTGCAGGCAAGAAGCTGAGGGGGGCCAAGCATCCCAAGAAGAAAGTCGCCAAAAAGTGAGCCGCTTGAGCCAATCGCAGCCGCAGTCCCTCACTGTCTATTTCTCTCTCACTCTCTGATTTCCATCGCCCTTCCCCCCTCCTCCCCTCCCAACTCCCCGTCGGCTACTCCTCTCGCATCCGCCTCTGCCCTGTCTCTTGCCCATGCGGTCCGCTCGTTCAATCTGCACGCCCGACTCTGAGCAGTTGTCGGGGGGGGGGGGCTTGCTGCCATGTGGGGCCATGGGCGCTTCGCCATGGCACAGGGGATGCATCTGGCTTTTGCTAGGGTCGCCAGGTAGAAAGCACATCTTGCGTTCACTACCTCCCCCCCCCGCCCGCCCCCTCCATCTCCGACGGCGCGTGCCCTGCAGGCGATGCATCTTCTCATGGTGCTGAGGGGGGCCGAGGCGACTGGAGGACTGACAAATAAATGAGCGAGGGGAAGGGGGGCAGGTTGGCAAATGACACAAGGGGGGCCAAGTGGAGGGCACAGGAGGAAGAGGAAGGGCGAGGGTGATCAGGGAAGACGGCGAGCGATGAGGAACAATGTCGTCGACAAAAATGTTCGGCCGAGGTCCCCGCTTCAAGCTTCAGGAGCTGAAAACCAGAACCCTCGGGCTCAAATCCGCGGAGGCTCAGCGGGGCCCAAATTCAGGGGCGTCGCAATCCAGGGGCAAGGAAAAACGTTGCACATCGTAACGCCCGAAGGCTGACAAGGGTGGTGGAGTGGGATTCTGCTGGGCAATCTCATCCTGGCCCCCCCATCTCCACCTCCCCGCTCCGCTCCGCAGGCTCTGCGCCCAGGCAGCCGCTGGCGGCAGAGGCGCCGCCGCAGCCTCCGGAGGCGCTGCCTGCGAAGAGGCGGAAGTGCGCGCATTGCCCGCCATCGACAGCCGTCGAAACACTGTTGGGGCAAGTCTGCGAGGGGAAGAGTCACTGGTCAGATGTAGTGAATGCTGCGCGTGGCTTCGTTCAAGAGGGAGGTTGCAGCGAGGCGGTCGAGGCCTTCGCATCCTGCGGCAACAACGGCGATTGCCCTAGCAATACTGAGCGCGGTATTTTCAGATTCTTGGAAGGGTTTGGATAGCCGCGCTTCCGCGGCGCCCGCCGTGCCCCGCCGGGGGCGGGGGGGAGGGGGCGGGAGCTTGGATGGGGGGGGGCTGGGGGGGGGGGCTGGGGTGAGGGTGCAAGAAGGCAATCAAGCTATAGCTCGGGGTAATGCCCTTCCTCCTCCTCCTCCGCCGCTTCTCCCCCTAGCCCTGCTCCCGCCTCCTCCTTGCCCCCCATCGAGCCCCCCCCCCCCCCCCCCGTGTGTGGGGGGTGTCTGTGGGGATGGAGGTCCCCACAGCTTGCGTCGTTTGCATTTTGGGGCGTAACGGTCTGGACGCCCGCACGCAACAAAGTAGAACCAAGGGGCAAACAAATATTTTAATTGTCCATTCTGCGTTTCGGTCGGGCCAAAAGGGGCCCGCCCTTTCCGGGGGATGCCAGCCCATCCTCGTTCGACTGTGTGGCGGCATCCTTGTTTTGTAACGGACTGCGCAGCTGGATATAGGAATCAGCAGCTGTGCAGCACGGGAGGTATTTACAGGCACGCGCACGCCTCGCAGGGGAATGCGAGCGACACTACGCTAGCATGGACCTGCGGGGGTAGGGGGCCAATCAAATGCAGAGCGAACCCACGCCTGCATGCGATTGGCTCTTATCTTAGTCTACATGTCTGTGGCTCAAGGCTCAAGTGAGGGTTGGAAGAAACACATCTGTGCTTCCCACCCCCTCGCATGGTGGCCCGGGGGGGCCGCAGATCCAGGGGAGGCCGCAGTTTGGCTTCCATTGTGCATTCTTGGGAGCGTCGACTGGCTGAGACCGCCGAGTACTTCCTCAGGGAAGCTCTCGGGCTCCCACCTCGGCCCCAGTGGGGCCCACTCTGGCTGCTTCCGGCCTCCCGGGCCGAGTTGCTAGCATATCTGAACGTAGTTGCCGATAACGAACTGGCAGAGTCAGAAATCAGCGATGAATGAGAACATCCTGTACTCTGCGCACCCGCTGGTGGACCAGCACCCGCTGGTACACACAAGGGTTATGAGCCCAAATGCATCGCCATCGGGTTCGGCGACGTGGCTGGTGAGATCGTGCCACTGCTGCGGCGACGTGCTGCAGGGGCCCGCGGTGAGCTGCCAGGCGTGCGGCCGCAGCGTGCACGCCCACTGCTGCACCTCCCGGGCTGGCTTGGTGGCGTGTTCCGGCTGCGCCTCGGAGTTCGACCTCGCGCGTGCTCAGCAGCGCGCCCAGGCGTCAGCCTTCGGCTTCGGGCGGGCGTTGGGCGCTAGCGGGCAGCTCGCTGGGCGCGCGATCGGCGCCGTGGCCACGGGCACGATTGGGGGCGCTGCGCGTCTGGTCGGCGGCGCGGCGGCGGGTGCGCGGCAGGCGATTGGAGGCCTGATGGCTTCCCCGCCCCCGCAGCCCGTGCCCGTGCCCGCTCGGCCCAGGATCCTCGAGGAGTACGACATATCTGACGCGGGCAGCGGCGGAGTCGCCGCCAGCGGCAACATGGTGGATATCATGAGGGAGCTGCGCTCGATGCGGTCCGAGATGGCCGAGCTTCGCGCGGAGAACGCGCGTTTGCGCCTGAGCGGTTCTGCCGCGTCGGGGAGTGCTGCCCCGGGCTACGCGACGCCGAACCCTGAGCGCGTCGACGCTGGTATCGACGACTCCGCCGGCGTGGAGGGCGACATCGGGGCCGAGCACGACGAGCTCACGGCCGTGTACGACCAGGACTGGGCAGCCGCGGAGGGCGCGGCTCAGGATTCCGGACAGGGCGGTTGCGCCCATCAGGAACGCGATTTTGATCCTCCTGGACTTCCTGGCGTTTCCGAGGTATCTGTGGTTGTTCCTGGGCCCTCGCACCCAGGAGAGGCAGGGCCAGCAGGCGCAGGAGACCCGACCAGTGCTGGCGAAGCAGGCTCAGGAGGGCATGGGGGCCTCGGTGGAGGCCCACTTCGACCAGCAGGGTACGGTCCAGGAGGAGTTCATGGAGTTGGAGCCGCTCTGGGAGGATTCCCGGCATTCCAGGGCTTCGGAGGTGTTCCCAGGGACCCTGGAGGTGGAGAATTCGGCGGCGGAGGCAGACCCAGCGGGCCAGGTGGACCTGGCGGCGGCGGATCTGGACCTCCGCCCGGGCAGCCGGGAGAAGGCTTCGGTGGTGGACCAGGCGGACCTGGCAGATTCGGGCCTCAGGGCCCTGGAGGTGGCGGCTTCGGACCTGGTGGACCAGGCGGCGGAGGCGGCGGACCACCCCCACCACCGCCGCCTTTCGGCGGTGGCGGAGCGGCTGCGGCGACATCGATGCCGGCTGGCCGTGACAGCACCCTGGAGACGGTGTTGAGCAGAGTGAAGGCGAGCGAGTTGCCCTCGCTGTCCTGGCCGAAGGGAGGTTCGGCGGGGCAGAAGGCTGCGGCCTTCGAGGGGTGGCTGCAGAGGATCGGCCTCGACCTCGGCGGCCTGCACCATCTCATCCAGGAGTACTGGCAACGCGTGGTGGCCGTCGTCTCCGAGGCGCATCGCTCCTACCTCGCGCACGGGCCGCTGGACCGGCCAGGGATCAGGCCATCGCAGCCCGAGGATTGGATTGCCTCGGAGACCGATGCGATCAACTACCGTAGCTGCGAGCTTCGGTTGCGAAGCATCTTGTTGAACCTGATGCCCGACGGCGTCAGGTCACAGTGCCTTTCGACGAAGATGACTTCGACATGCGACATCTTGTTTGGAGCCTTCGTCGAGGCGGGCCCGGGCACTGCCGCAGATAAGGACCATGTGTTGAGCGCGGTCCAGAAGGGTAAGGCCGTCGACAAGGCGCACGCCTACGAGGAGCTCCAGAGGTGGAAGCTGAACGCGACCCGCCTCGCGACGCTCGGCGTGGCGGCGCCAGACCCGTCGTTGCAGCTGACGGCGCTCAAGACGATCGTGGGGCGCATGATCGAGAGCGACCAGGAAGTCAAGCACCGCTACTACGGGTTCCTCGTGGTGCGGGGCTTGAGCGGCGGCGTCTGCACGCAGGCGCAGGTCGACGAGTTGTGGAGGTACTTGTCGGCAGAGGCCCGAGAGTTCGCGGGCTCCTCCGGCGGCGGCGGCAAGAGCGAGCAGCAGGAGGCAGCGCGCGCGGCTGCTCTGGCCCTCAGGGGCGGTAAGGGCCCGAAGGGGAAGGGCAAGGACAAAGGCAAGGATAAGGACAATAATGGCAACCCGAAAGGCGCCGGCAGGGGCGACACGAAAGGTGGCCATCCGCCTCTCGGAGGCGGCGCTGGAGCTGGCCCTGGCCGGGGCTCCGGCGGGAAGGGCGAGCTCAAGTTGTGCCCGCACTTCGAGGGCGAACGCGGCTGTCGGCACGGCAGCGGAGGGGCTTGCCGAGATCGGCACCGCAAGCTCCAGCCGCAGGAGGGCAAGTGCTTCAACTGCGGATGCACTCAGCACCGCTCGGACGTGTGCGAGCGACCGAGGCCGTCGGCGAAGGCGGCGGCAGCCCCGGAGACCGCGCCCTCGGCGGCCGCGGCAAAACCAGATGCAGCATCGATGGAGCAGGTGGCTGCTCAGGCCGCGCGCGCCGAGGTCAGCGCGCAGCTCCTGTCGCTCATGGGCATGGGTGCTGGGGCGCCGCAGGCCCCTTCGGGGCAGACGGCCCAGGTCGACTTCTGGGCCGCCGTCGAGCCGAGCGCGAAGACGATCCGGGTCTCGGCGAAGACCGTCGGCGCCAGTGGTGAGCGCATGCTCCTCGCGGACACCGGGGCCACTCATGAGTTGCGCGGAGTGCGCGACCTGTCGGCAGTCCGCGGCAAGCATGTGAAGCTGCAGACCGCCGCCGGCGAGGTCGACGCGAAGATGGTGGCCGACGTGGTGTACGTCGAGGGGGAGTCCTTGCAGGGGCTGTTCCCTCTCGCCACTTACGTGGAGCAGCTCGGCCTCAAGATGAGCTGGGACGCAGAGCAGTGCGTGGTGAGGCTCGCGGACGGCCGCGAGGTGCACCTCCACCGCGTGAACAACGCGCTGTACATCTCCGAAGCTGATGCGGAGGTTCTGCGGCAGGAGCGGCGGCGGCAACTCCGCCAGCGGTTTCGCGCAGCGATGGGCGTGCTCGCGCGCGCCCTCCGCGGCATGGCGCATGCCGCGCCCGCGCGACCCAGTCTGCAGGAGCACGAGGAGGCGGGGCACGTCGTCTTCGACCCCGCCTGCGGCAAGTGCAGGGGCGCCTCGGGGCGCATGAGACAACATTTCAGGCGCGACGCCTCGACAAGGCCAGGCGGCCAATTGTCGGTGGACCTCTCAGGGCCTCATTTGCCTGGCCGCTGGCCCTCGGGGCGGCCAGAGGATCAGGGGAAGAAGGCCATCCACTTCCTCCTCGCCGCTTTCAGCGTCACCACCAACGACGAGCTGGCGCAGAAGAGGAGGCGCGAGGAGGACGCGCGCGCCGGCGCGGAGCGGGCGCCAGGGACGCAGGCTGCAGGCGTTGGCAAGGATGCCGAGGCAGCTGCTGCCGTAACGCAGGTTCCCCCCCTCCTCGCGGAGATTGCGCCGACGGCGCATCCAGTGCTGCAGAGGCTGATGGAGCGTGCCGCCGAGGCGCACGGCGTCAGCGCGCGGCCGGCGGGTGTAGAGGCGCAGGGAGCGACTGGCGTGGGCCAGCCCGTCGGCCCAGATGTTCCCAGCGAGGCCTCCGGGGACATTCCGGCTCCCCCGATCTTGGTTGAGGGCTCCGGCCAGGAGGCCGAGGATGATGATGGAAGTGCGGCGAGGCCCAAGAGTCGTACGTGGTACTTCGTGGTGCCGCTCCAGAGCCGCAGGCCCGAGGAGTGCATCGCCGCGCTGAACGCCGTCATTGCGTCCATTCGCAAGGAATTCGAGGGTGCCGACGTGGTCTACAGAATCCACGGGGACAGGGCGAGCGAGTTGACTGGCGAGAAGGTCAGGCAGCACTTCGCGGAGCGCCACGTCGCTGTGACTTCGACTCCTGGCTATGAGTCGAATGCGAACCCTCGGGCTGAGAAGGGCGTGGGTCTCATAAAGCAGCGTGCTCGCGCGATGCTCCTCGCCTTCCCCTCCATGGGCGATCGGCAGGCGCTGTGGCCGATGGCAGTCACCCATGCAGCGTGGTGCAGCCGAATGGCCGCTGAGGGGCGCAGGACGGGTTGTCCTGCTTTCGGCGCCCGCGTCACGTCCAGGGTAAAGGACGCGCCCCGCAGTATGCTTCAGGAACGGGCGGTGGAGAGCATCTTCCTTGGCATCGACGAGGGCGGGGGCGGTTGGCTCGTGGGGCGGGTGGATCCCGAGGCCACGATGCCCGAGCGGAAGTGGATCATCGAGGCCTCCAGCTCCTTCGCGACAGTTCCCCCGCCGATCCGTCAAGCGCCAGCAGTCCAGGAAGAGGGGGAGGAAGAGACTGCAGGAGAAGCAGTGAGGCAGCGAGAGGACGCAGCACGACCTGGAGGAGGCCAGCAGGATGAGGAGACAGAGGAGGCAACACCACCAGGAGGAGGACCAGGAGCACCGGGATTAGCTGAGGAGACGCACGACGACATCTTCGAAGCCGACGTGAAGGACATCACGTGCCCTGCGTGCACCACGAGGTCCCATCGACCTCACACTCGCGATGCCCACTGTCATCTTGGACCTCTTCTTCGTGGACCTGCTCGGGGACCTCCTTTTGACGCTGGCGTCGACGCGGGGCCGAAGTGGTCGTGTCCAGCGTGCCGCGGACGGCGCGTTGCTCACACTCGTGATCACCGATGCCGACGCGGCCCCGCAGGTTCTTCATCGGCACGCCCTTCGGACAGGCTGGCTGGACGACCGGCCGCTCGGTCATCATCATCATCTTATGGCGCCCCGGTGAGCCTCCTCATGCACCACGACATCATTCGCGACAGGGTGCCCTTCGCGGCCGCCGCCGGGGCCCTGGAGGAGGAAGAGGCGCACGAGGAGGAGGACGACGACGACGAGGATAACGTGCCGCCCGAGTTTAAGGAGATCATCCGCGACTCTGGCACGTCGCTGGTCTCGATGAGGGTGCTCAACGAGGCTTTCGGCTCGGAGAAGGAGGAGTGGAGGCAGGCCCTCGAGAACGAGCTGAATTCGATGACAGAGACCGAGACTTTCGACCGGCTGACGCCGGCGGAGGTTCGACAGGCGAGGCCCAGGGACATCTTGCCCATGAAGGTGGTGGCGGGTGTCAAGGCTGCCGAGCCTTCTGATCCGACGGGTTACCGGAGGAAGAAGTGCCGAGGCGTGGTATGCGGCAACTTCGAGCAGCCCGGGGAGGGAGAGCAGGTGTACACCTCGAACCTCGAGGTTTGCAGCCTCCGCAGCGCCTTGGCGGTAGCATCCGCCAGGAGCTGGGACATCGGCGCGATGGATGTTTCGACTGCCTTCCTCAACGCCCGCCTCCCCATCGAGCACAAGGAGGTGCTGGTGCGCCCTCCCGCCGTGATGGTGCGGTATGGCCTCGTCCGTCCCGGGGAGGTCTGGAGGGCGACGAAGGCCATCTACGGCCTGCGCGTCTCGCCCAGGGCGTGGGCAACGAAGCGAGATTCGGACATGAAGGACGTGATCGTCGAGGACGCGCTGGGCCATCAGTTCCGGCTCCGGCAGAGCACCGCTGACGGGGCAGTGTGGAGTATCATGGACTCCGCGGGCAGCGTCTGCGGGTGCGTTCTCACGTACGTGGACGACTTCCTCATCTTGGGACCTTCGTCGGTCGTTTCGGCGACGAGGTCGGCTTTGGGAGGGCTCTGGAGGACATCATCCCAACCCCAAGTTGGACCTGGGTCGCCCGGGGTTGTGCGCTACCTGTCCATTGACATCGAGGTCAGGGTCGACTCCACCATCACGCTCTCGCAGCATTCCTACACGGAGGAGCTGCTGGAGAAGTGGGGCATGGAGAAGGCGAACGGCGCCGGCTCCATCAATCTGGATAAGGAGAGCTTCGAGGACTTCGCTGGAGTGGCGAACGGGGGCGAGGAGGAGCCAGCGCTGAGCGATGTCAGGCTCGCGCAACGCATGGCCGGAGGGCTCCTCTGGCTCGCCTCGCGGACGCGCCCGGACATCGCCTATGCGGTGTCGCGCGTCGCGGCTCTCGCCGCGAGCCGCCCTGTCCAGAGCTTGCTGTTCGGCAAGAAAGTCTTGCGCTACCTAGCTGGCACGAGGCGCGTGGGCTTGGTGTACCACGTCACGCAGGAGTTCGGCATGGACGAGGCGCTCCCGCTGGAGACGTACGCCGACGCGAGCTTCGAGGACATTGGTGCACAGACGGGCGTCTCGGTGCACCTCTTCGGCTGCTTGGTCGACTGGCGCAGCGTGCGCCAGCAGGTCGTCCCGTTCAGCGCGGCGGAGGCGGAGGTGAACGCGCTGGCCGTCGGCGAGAACATGAGCGCTGCCGCTGCGGCCACGCTCGAGAGCATGGGGCTCCGGGCGCAGCCGACCCTGCATTGGGACAATGCCGCGGCGAACCACGTAGCTGAGGGGCGAGGGTCATGGCGGACCCGTGCATTGTCCACGAAGGTCAACGCCATCCGCTCCAGGATGGCACGCGGGCTGCTCGAGTTGCATTTCGTCGGCACTACCGAGCAGCGTGCGGACGGGCTCACGAAGTGCGGCGGGGTGCAGCACGCGGCGAGGATCCGCCAGCACTTCGGGCTGCGGGCTGTGGCTTAGGCGGACAATTTTGTATATTAGTTGTGTCTTGGATTTTCTGTAGGCGTGTACGGGTGTTCGGAGGTGCGAGGGCACCCCCCACACCACCGCGCCAGACAGAGCACGGTGCTTGCTGCAGCCGCGGCCCCACCACGGCTTCAGAGGAGGAGCGTGTGTGGGGGGTGTCTGTGGGGATGGAGGTTCCCACAGCTTGCGTCGTTTGCATTTTGGGGCGTAACGGTCTGGACGCCCGCACGCAACAAAGTAGAACCAAGGGGCAAACAAATATTTTAATTGTCCATTCTGCGTTTCGGTCGGGCCAAAAGGGGCCCGCCCTTTCCTGGGGATGCCAGCCCATCCTCGTTCGACTGTGTGGCGGCATCCTTGTTTTGTAACGGACTGCGCAGCTGGATATAGGAATCAGCAGCTGTGCAGCACAGGAGGTATTTACAGGCACGCGCGCGCCTCGCAGGGGAATGCGAGCGACACTACGCTAGCATGGACCTGCGGGGGTAGGGGGCCAATCAAATGCAGAGCGAACCCACGCCTGCATGCGATTGGCTCTTATCTTAGTCTACATGTCTGTGGCTCAAGGCTCAAGTGAGGGTTGGAAGAAACACATCTGTGCTTCCCACCCCCTCGCATGGTGGCCCGGGGGGGCCGCAGATCCAGGGGAGGCCGCAGTTTGGCTTCCATTGTGCATTCTTGGGAGCGTCGACTGGCTGAGACCGCCGAGTACTTCCTCAGGGAAGCTCTCGGGCTCCCACCTCGGCCCCAGTGGGGCCCACTCTGGCTGCTTCCGGCCTCCCGGGCCGAGTTGCTAGCATATCTGAACGTAGTTGCCGATAACGAACTGGCAGAGTCAGAAATCAGCGATGAATGAGAACATCCTGTGCTCTGCGCACCCGCTGGTGGACCAGCACCCGCTGGTACACACAAGCCCCCCCCTCCCCCCCCGACCTCCCCCCTCCGCCCTGCCCCGCCTCGCGCGGGGAGACACGGGCGCAACGCCTTTTGCCGTCTCAAACTTGCGGGCCTGAGGATTGAAGGTGAAGCCATACTATATTTCGCTCGAACTGGAAGGTGAGACATCCACTGCGACATCGAGCGAGACAGTTCCCTTACTGTTGCCGCGCGAGGTGGCCGATGCAATTTTCAAAATGTCTGGCGTGCAGTTTCAGAAGTCGTTTCTTTAAGGTGATCGCTCGAGCTGTTGGGCATTCTGGGAGAACATCCACAAGCATTTCCCGTCGCTTCCAACAGCGGCAGAGTCGCCAGATGCACTTTCGAAGACTCTGCCAGTGATGTACCACGTGGACGGAGCCGAGGTCCACAATAATTCAGAGCACTATCAATTTTCGTGGTCATCATTTTTCGGCGGCGGGGGTGTCTGGGATTTCAAGTTTTTAATAACATCAATTCCGCATTGGAGAATGACTACGTTACTTCATAAAAAAGGCAGTGTTCCATGAGCTATGCAAAGTAATTGGCTGGTCGGACAGAGCATGGAGAAGCGGGCGTTTCCCTGATTATCGGCGCGACGGTGCGCCCCTGGACCCTGCCCGCATCAATGTCGCTGGGGCTGTCATTGCTGGCGGGCATCACGGCGCCTTCGCAGGGGGGGCATGGGGTTGCCCCCGCGCTTTGTTTCATATCCTCGCCATCCCCCTTCGACCTCTGCCCGCGCTCCTGCGCCCCCTCCCGCCTTGCCCTCCTGCCGGGCCCTCCCCATCCCCCTTTTCCCCGCCGCCGTTCTCCGCGCCCCAGGCCTGCTTTGTTCTGCAGGAAAGAGAAGGGGGGGATGCAGAGTGGGGGAGAGAGAGAGAGAGAGAGAGAGAGAGAGAGAGAGAGAGAGAGAGAGAGAGAGAGAGAGAGAGAGAGAGAGAGAGAGAGAAAGAGAGAGAGAGAAAAAGAGAGAGAGAGAGAGAGAGAGAGAGGGAGATATGGAAGAGGGAAATGGAGAGGAGAGGGAGAGGGAGAGGGAGAGAGAGAGAGAAGAGAGAGAGAGAGAGAGAGAGAGAGAGAGAGAGAAGAGAGAAGAAAAAGGAAAAAAGAGAGAGAGAGATGAGAGAGAGAGGAGAGAGAGAGAGAGAAAAGAGAGAGAAAAGAGGGAGAAAATACGAGGGAGAGAGAGAGAGAGAGAGAGAGAGGGAGATAGAGAGAGAGAGAGAGCGAGAGAGAGAGAGAGAGAAAGAGAGAGGATCCATAGAGAAAGAAATGGCGAGAGGGGGGGGGGGGGGGCGAGAGGATAGAGACAAGAGGGAGATGGGGGGGAGAGAGTGAGAGAGAGGGCGGGGGGGGGATATGAGACGGAGAGGGGGGGGGGGGGGGGGGAGGGAGAAAGAGGGAGAGGGATAGGGAAGAAGAGAGAGAGAGAGAGAGAGAGAGAGAGAGAGCGAGAGAGAGAGAGAGAGAGAGGGATTATAGAAGGACAACAAACTGAGAGAGAGAGAGAGAGAGAGAGAGAGAGAGAGAGAGAGAGAGAGAGAGAGAGAGAGAGAGAGAGAGAGAGCGAGAGAGAGAGAGAGAGGAGCGAGAGGAGAGAGACAGAGAAGAGGGAGAGAGAGAGAGAGAGAGAGAGAGAGAGAGAGAGAGCGAGAGAGAGAGAGAGAGAACAACTGTGCGGGAGGGGTGGGAGAGAGAACAAAGATAGCGAGAGAGGGCGCCTGCTGCCCCAGTGCTTCCGCCAGCGCCGGGCGCCTCTCTTTCGCGCGCTGGAGAAAGCGTCGGGAGGGGAGGACAGAAAAATGATGGGAAAGCTCGGAAAGAACTCAACTACTTCAAGCGGTTCTACAACGCTACATACTGCTGCGATTCTTGTTTGGCTGTTCAGGCGTACCCGAGGGCCCCGATGGAACTCTATTATGGGGACTTCAGGCCCGACGCCGTGTATTCCAGGACACTCATATCACATGAAACTTACATGGCCTCGGAAAGAGAGATTTCCCCGTGGACTCAGGTAGACGGCTGGCGCATTGAGTTGCGTTGGCGCGACCTCCTCCGCGTTTTATACCTAGGGATATGCCGCGCCACGCGCGCAGGTTGCATAGTGGAGATTTGGGGGGGCGGGTGGCTTCTAGGGAGAGATGCTGAAGAGCAGCTCGGCAACCTGTCGACGCAGATGCGGACTTGGCGCGCGCAGCGAGGACATCCGATCGCCCGGGGGGAGATTACAAAGACAGCTTTGAATCGAGAAAACAAGGCCCATTGGCCAGAACTTGCATCGTGGTTCAAAGGTATGCACATCAAAGCTATGAGATTCTATCTAGTGGAACTTACACAGAGATGCGATGATGGATCGTTCCATGACCATGCCAGATCGACTTGCATGTGGGCCCTTGCGAACTTTATTCACATATTGGAGGGGCTCGGGTGGGGCATCCGGGCATGCCTCATCCTCCTCCTTCTCCTCCCCCCTTCTCCTCCTCCTTCTCCTCCTTCCCCCCTCTTCCTCGCCCCCCCCCCCCCCCCCGCCCTCATTCTCCCCCGTCCTCGTTCTCCTCCTTCCCCGTCTTCTCCGCCTCCTCTGCCTAGCCGCCGTCGCCCGCGCCCGCGCCCCCCCCTTCGCTCGGCCCCCGCGGCAGAGGGGGGCAACGTAAACGAGACAGATGAGGAGATGGGGCGGACGCGGGAGGACGAGGAGGAGAAAGTGGACTGAGGAGGGCGGTGGACGAGGTGGAGAAAGTGGACTGAGGAGGGCGGTGGAGGTGGGAAGGGATGCATTCGAGACGGCGAGAGAGAGGGGGGGGGCAGCTCGCCAAGACTCATGGGCGAGGATGACATCAAGGCCGCGCAGAAGAGCGGCAGGCTTTTCCTATCATGTTTCCAACGGCTGTCCTGCGATTCCGAGGTTGCTGGCACATGCCTTTGGGGCGAAAGGCCAACGCTGCATTACCTATGGCACAAACTTGAAGTGACATTGGTGTACAGGATCAACCCTAAATATGTTCAATGTGATGCTGACGAAGGCTGCGTGAATCTTCTCAAGAAGATAGGTCGGCTGTGCCATGGTGTTTCTTTGATTCACAGGCTGGTCGATCGCTACCTCTTAGGTCTCGGTTTGAGGGCCGAGGCGTGGGCCAGGTGAGATCTCTGCGAGACGCGAGCGCGCCGACGCCGATGGGGCATCCTCGGTGATGTGGCCCTCCTCCTCCTCCTCCTCCTCCTCCTTCTCCCCCTCCTCCTCCTCCTCCTCCTCCTCCTCCTTCTCCTCCTCCTCCTCCTCCTCCTCCCCCCCCCTCCTCCTCCCCCAACCTCCCCTCCTCCTGCCCCCCATTGGTGATCCTCCCCTTGTTGTCGGCGTGATCGGCTTCTCGCGGCTGCCCTGCCCGGCGCGGGGGCCCCCGCGGGCGCCTGCGGGGTGGCGTTGGCGCGGCGCGTTGGGCAGCCCGCCTGCAGATAGCGGTGGGCGAGGGAATGGGGGATGGTCGGAGGGTGGACGACGAGGAGAAGGGCTGCAAATGGGGGGGGGGGGGGCGGACGGGGTCGAGGAAGAGGAGGGGCGATAAGGCCAGAGGAGGGGTATATAGACATATCAATAAATGGACAGTGCCTCAAGAGAGGTCGGGAGGCGAACGCACCAGGCAAGAGATCGAATTCGCCGCCTCTTCAGCCTTGCTCCTGGATAGCAGGGCTGCCCCCTCAATGGTAAGCGCCTCATCCTGCCCCCCCTCCTCGCTCCTCCTCCTCCTCCTCCTTCCTCCTCCTCCTCCTCCTCTCCCTCCTTCTTCCTCCTCCTCGTCTTGCCCCCCCCCTTGCCCCTCCTCCTCTCGAATCCCTGCCCCGCCTGCAGGGTGGGGGGGCCCTGCCCTTGCCGCCGCCCGCGGGCCGCCTGATCGCGCCCCGCTCTGCAGAGAGCGGGCCCGCAGCTGCAAAGCCAGCGCGACGCGCGCGAGGGCGCGGGTCGATTGACTCCGACGTCGTCGCCGCCGTCGTCGGCGTCGTCGTCGCCGCCTCGTCCGACGTCGTCGCTGCCGCCGCTGTTGTCGGCGTCGTCGTCGTCGCCTCGCCCGACAACGTCG